AATACTGCCAAAATACCGAGCGACCCTACCTCTGCTTGGAGAGTACAGAAATCGCAGCAGAACTCGCTGAGAAAAATCTTGTAGCGGTGGGACTAGTCCACTGAATGGATAATTGATAACAATGAAAGGATTAGCTTCACACGATAACTGCACGTAGCTACAAAGGGCGTGTTTGGTTCATAGTTGAAACTCGGCCAGTTACGTATTCCTTGTCTCGTCCTAACACTTCGGCAAGGGCTGTAGCTGTTAAAGTAGATAACGTTACCTGAATAATCAGATTTAAAAAAATGTCATGCACGCATACACTAGCAGATATATTACTCCATGCGAAGAGCAATTTTGGGTAAAATCCAACTGAATGAATCTAAACCATATTTACTACATTTTCTTTAACAGGATTTTTTTATTGAATTTTTGTCAGATGTCAATCACATTTTGTTTGACATAATGAAAGACACAGTGTCGACGAATTATCTTGGAAAATAATGGAAATATGCAGGCATTTTGTCTTTATTAGGCAAAAAGCGAGTACTTTTTCATCATTCTTTACAAAAATGACAGCATATTTACCGTCGAAGCTAATGTCATAGGGCATAAACCATGCTTTTATATGACAGTCCACTATGAGGCCCTATGTCTATGACATTGTCGTGTGACTCCTTATTTTCATTGCATGACTCAAGAATGATGATGCATCGTTTAGCACGTGACATGGTGAGGATGCCACAATAGTCTGCGTTACGCAACATTTTTACCGTCTTTCATCCATAGAAATATGTCTACGTGACGTTATTATTATAAACTTCCAGAGATTTATTTTGTTCACGTGACCAGGTGGGAAACCCCTTCACCAAAGTCCAACCGCAAGCGCATTGATACAAAAATGCCTGTAAGATTCTTCATTTTTACAAAATCATTCACTTAAAGTACAACATATTTGCACCTATGTGGATTTATACTTAATGACTAAGTGGCTTTATGCCGTAGACCTTCCACTGACGCAAAAGCTTCGAAGAAATCTTTGAACTATTTTGTGACGGCGGCCATTGCTTTGTGATCCGGCTGCACATAAACAGAAGAGGGCAAGCTCAGCGCAGACAAAGGCTAGCTGTTGTATTGCGGTGAACTGCGTTGAATATTACAAAATTGTGCGGTTTAACAGTGATATTCCACGGAAATATACATTTTGGTGAGTATTAGGTCTTCTTTACGCTTGAATTTGGTGGACGAATGCTTGAAATTCGTTCTAGAAAATCGAACGTAACTGGTAGCATCTGTAACGTTATGCAAAGAAGGCCGTCTGGCCGCCATGATTTTTCCGTCGTCGAAAAATTTCTGTCATCTTGAAGATTTCCTGAATTCTCCCCGCCCACTGTAACCGCTGTGGTTGATATTCTCCAGGCACAAGCATTCACATGGATCTAGCGGTGTATTCATGGTCGTTTAGTGGTTAAAAGTGCATTTCTGTTGGCAGAAATTATGTTCTTTTATGTAGGTTTGGATGTTTTTTCCACAACAACTCGGGGCGAGGGGCGTTTTGTGCGGTCTCTTAACCATGGATATCCCACAAATTTGCGCTTCTGCAGTGAAAACTAACCAACCAAACCTACTGTCAAAAGGATATTCTACTAGAGAAATTTGGGAAGCAAACACCCGTACTTTTACACATCGTTGCGTAAAGTAATTATGTTGTTTTTAGCGAGGCTAGCTGGTGACCTCGTTTTTTACGTGAGGGAGGGGGGTGACGACTGGCCACGTCATACCTTCTTGTTTACACCGTGTTCATTTACGCCTAACAAACAACCCTTTCAAACATATTGATCCGTGGTTTTAATTAAAAAAACGTCATGGAATCTACCGCAAAATTATTCAATTTCTAAATTGAACAGTTTTGGATATTCGTTTGTTGTTGTGGCCTTGCAAATGATAATTTCTGTTGACAGGATGTTGGCTAATGTTTTTCAGCTTTGACTGACAGCTTCAATTATTTGGATTAAAAGCTGAAAACTTGAGATAACGTTACGGCTATTAGATGGATATTACCTGCCTAAGTTATGTTTTTGAAGCCTTTCCAGCTCAAGCCAAATTTTGCAAGGCAAAGCCTTCTTTTTTTTTTTGTTCACATAATTTTGCAGATTTTGAAAATTCGATGTCAAAACAAAGTGTGGATAAGATTTGAAGAGACAAAGTACAAGTGAGATTACAAAACAATAAAGACTTGGATGTTTTTAACAACAATAGCAGCAACACTAATTTACATAAGTATGTATTGTGTGTGAAACAACAAAGAAACTTGCAGGCATGAAAGAAATGCCTGTGAGACTGAAAAATGAATTGTGGATAAGAAATTTTTTCAGAAAAGACAATTGAATGTGGTTGTGGATGGCTAACAGCATTCTGATAGGTGAAGAATAAAGACAAACACTGTAGAAATCAGTTAGATCTGACATTTTTTCATGGTCTTTGAGTATATTATGTAACTACTGCAACAGTTACCGTACATGTCCTTAGTTTAATGAGTAATAATACGTACACTGAAGCCTGAAGGTGAACAAACCAATGCTCATACACACACTTGCTTTGACATCAGAAACTTGTAAACCATATCGTAAAGATGAAAATCAAGCAGTTCGAAAAGATGAAAGCGTAGTTGGTGGCTGTCGTGGTTCAGTGTTTGATCAGTCATGCATAATTCCTTAAGACGCCTCCGCCTCAAGCTGGGTAAATGTAAATTTAAAACTAAAAGGATTGATTCTACATACAGGTGATGCTGATGTAGGCCAGCTAAACGTCAAACCAAATTTTATGACATGTTGATTTATTAAAGGTAAAAGATGGGTTTTCTTTACAAATAATGTATAGATAATTCCAAGGCAAGCTTGTTCATGTCAGAACAAATGCCTAAACTTCAGCTATACTTCTTGTACCCATACCTGTCTCTGCTCTAGTATCTAAACAAGTTATTCAGGTATATAACCATATGGTGGTCTAAGCCAGAATACATAGATACACCACAGGTGACAATGATCTCCAGATGGATGAAGACTTTCTACAGGGCTTCTCAGTCTTCAAAGGACAAGTTGGAAATTATAACTGCTAGTCTTTTTAGTCATGTTTTTGTTAGGTATTATGGCTATTAATTATGCCTTTTAGTGACAAAAGAAGTGGCAACTGTGAACATACAAAATGTAGAAATAGCACCATGTGCAAAACTTCCCATAGTCAAACAATGGTTGCGGACAAAAGACCACAGTCTAAGGTACACACATAGGGCTGTGTCAAATGTACTCTGCTGGGATAAATGTCATCATTTGTTTTTTGATATATTTTTTGTCACCTGTGTCAGAAAGTGTGAATACCCTGTATGTATGTACATGTCACAATGTGTAAAATATATTTTTTTTTGTAAAAAGCCAGAGGAAGACATGCCCAAAATGTACATATGCATAATGAATCTATATTAAAGATGTATTGTTGGTTAGTGGTTCTGTCCCTGGATCTATCTTCTTGGGATTTTGAATCCTGGCTGTGTCACTGGAAAGATCCACTGTTCATTGCATCTACAGGGTTGGACAAGTTTTCAAAAATTTACTTGCCCTATTGGGCCAGTACATGGTCATTTCCACTTGCCCGAACCAACTATTCACTTGCCCGAAATATGACGTATTTCTATGTGATTTTTTTTCTAAGAAAATTTTTTCATTTTTCAATAAAAAAAAGGTTATAATGTTGCTTGCTTTGTCTACCAAAATAAGGGTACTTAGAGACACCTTTCCAACAAAAGGGCATATTTTTTACTTTTATCAATAATATATCTTTATTTCAAAATGATATGTAATTTTGCTCCAAACATTGCATCAAAAAAATTTACTTGCCCCATCGGGCAAGTACAGGGGGATATTTACTTGCCCGAACAGTACTTTTACTTGCCCTGGGCAAGTGGGCAATGGGACTTGTCCAACCCTGATCTATTGAAATTAGGGAAATTTCCCGAGTACAATGAACCTGAAAATACTGTACATAGATGATATATTATGTACATTGTAGTATAATATCAATGGTAAACTGAGCAAATACATGACATACTGTCAGCATTTAGCAATTAAAATAGCAAGTATATAGTGTAACAAAATTGTCTTATGTCATTAGCAGTGGAATAGTCCTTCAGTGAGCTAAGCTGGTTTCAGATCACTTTGAACCCCTTGTACAAAAAGCAGCACACTCATAGTGGACTCTGATGCATTTCAGGATTGTTGAGTGACGTACATGTGCAGACAACTCAGCGACATGAGAGGACCAGTAGAAACACAGGCAAGAGAGGAAGCTCCAGAGCAGGAACAACCCGGGTTTGAAGAGTTCCTATGGATGGAAAATGAGGAGGACTATGATAGACAGGTAAGTAGCAGCATTAGGACATTTTGAAATATACATGTACCATATTGATAGCTACATCACAATCAATTGTGTATCTGTCTGCACAGAGTAGGTTGACAGTGTGCGGGTGGGTGGAAAGTTGATAAGTAGAATGACAGAAGTTCATCAAAGGTCTCAGAATCTGGCTGGGAGTTAGTAGGATTGAGAGATTGACATGGGGGAATTCAGGAAGCTGCAGATTACATTTTTCCAGAAGTCTTGAAATCTCTGACTTGTTGCCCAGGTTCTGCAGGAGTTGTGGGAGGAAGACTTCTTGGAGCAGTGTTTCCAGGAGATGATGCACGAAGAGGAGGCCAGAATCTGTCCTGGCTGGCAGGACGAGCAGCAGCCACCGCAGCAGCAGCAACAGGCACCTGTCCCTCAGTACCGGTACCCAGGGTAGCCCACTTTACTTAGCCTCGTAGCCAGACTATTCTAGCTCTGATTTAGTAGCAACAACAGGCACCTGTCCTTCAGTACCAGTACCCAGGGTAGGCCACTTTACTTAGCCTGGTATCCAGACTATTCTAGCTCTGATTCAGCAGAAACAACAGGCACTTGTCCCTCAGTACTGGTACCCAGGGTAGGCCACTTTACTTAGCCTAGTATCAGCAGCAACAGGCACCTGTCCCTCGGTCCTGGTACCCTGCGTATGCCTTTTTTACTAAGCCTAGTATCCAGACTATTCTAGCTCTGATTCAGTAGCAACAACAGGCACCTGTCCCTCAGTACCGGTACCCAGGGTAGGCCACTTTACTTAGCCTGGTAGCCAGACTATTCTAGCTCTGATTCAGCAGAAACAACAGGCACCTGTCCCACATTACTGGCACACAGGGTAGGCTCATTTAGCCAGTCAATCAATAGTCTATCCTTCAGTTTGTCCCCCTTTTCACAAGGCAGTAATCTTCTAATGTGTATTGTCCATGTTGCAGTGGTAGTGTGTCCCAGCCCTGTGTGGCGGTGAATGGTGTCCACCCCCCTGTGAACGGAGTCTGCTTACAGATGGAGCAGCTGCAGCTGGCAGAGGCACAGCAGCCCAAACCAGAGGTGTGTAACTCCAGACTGTGTTATTTATTCACAACATAAGGAGTTATCCAAGCTGACATTTGGCGACAGCATTTTTAGAAATGTAACAACGACACCAGTGTGAACTGTAAAGTAGTTCTAACTAGTCAGTATTGTCCTGAGGAAGGTGACACATGGTCACTGAAGTGTTGGCACTGGTGCACCTCACCTGAAATTTAGGTGCAAAACATGAAATAAAGTACACTGTCAGCAATTACAAATCTTATGCCTGTCTTCAGAGTTTGTGCCTGAAATTCTGTCGCTAACACTGGTACCTTTGCATACACAAATACTGAAGTGCACAAAAGTGCATGTTTCTGATTATGCTTTTTGTATTTGTGCATATAGATAACTTTCTTTTGTGTTGAAATCTTTTCCAGGTCGCAACGAGCACCCTGAACCCAAACGCACCAGAGTTTGTTCCCAAGATGCGTAGCTAGACGCCGAGAGCGACACAAAAACCTTTCCACTTTGTTACATGTGCAGATCATTGCCTTTCACTTAAACCACCAACCCTTGCACTCCTGTCTTTTGAAGTGGACTGTCCTGAAATAATTTCACAGGGTATTGTTCATGTTGTTGTCATTTTGTTCATCATCCAAAATAACATACAGTAAC